AAGTACAAGCAGATATTTATGAACCAACCTTTCTTTGAAAAGGGATACCTTTTGCATGTATCAAACTCATATTCCTTTTTAATGAGTAGACGGATCACCTGATGGTAAGCAATCGGCGTCGCCCATGGACACCTGGAACATCAGAGGCATTACAAGTGCGTTACCGACCTTTTGGGGATTAGAAATGTTGGGTATTCAGGGATTGGGGAGATTCAGTAATGGGAAGTAGTTGGCTATTTTTGAGACACTAGCCTAGTAAACACAATATTACTTAAATAAATATTATATTACGTAGGATCAAGGAATGTAACTAAATATTGAGAACTTCTTAATGAGCTGTTGTTTTCCACCATGATACCAACGACACAAACAGCTTTCCTGTTCTAATACCGTAATAAATAAGGTATAGGTACTTATGGCCATTTTATCCCTGAGCTAAGATAGGTCATACTTAGCGACATTATGGCTTTCACCAACCTATGCTAATAAGTGACACCTAATGATAAAGGTAAGGGTTTATAAGTTCTCCTTCACGTTAAGTAACTCTTAGTTACGAGAAGGTTTCAGGGTGGTTTTTGAAAACAGTAATATAAGTCCAAGTTATATCAAATCTTTCTAAGTCAACAACTTTGACCCATTTCAAAGGTTAAACCTCAAACTCCATACTGGTTTAGCAGCTACAAGCTACCATTAAGTACTCTATGAGACTACCACATATAAATACAGTCTACATAATATATTATATTACCTCTGTAATCCAGTAAAGGGCTTGGCTAGGTACTGATTCCCGATAACTGATAGGACAACCACGCAAGCATTTATCGGGTTTCTAATACTTTATAACTGAATAAATGTAACTCAGTTTTCCTCGTTGCATTCATCAACATTACTGTCTGATACTTTTGTGGGATGTCATCAAATAGTTATTGGACGCTATTGTCCGCCAATATCAATAAAATTGGTTTTATTAGTCCAATCCTTGATATAATAGTAGGAACCAATTTGTTTTCTTCTTTTAGTTATTGTCCAATGTCTCGTCTGTTTTCAAGAACATGACGATTGACTATATATAAAGTAATTAATTCTAACATCTATAGTTTTTATAACTTTTTCAATCAAAAAAGTTTATTTTTATTGATCCAGGCAGACTGAGACAGACAGTGCCATCTGTTGGCAAGATACAAAACTAGGCTATGCTATCTATGACATTCTCTAAATTAATGTTTGATACAAGAGTCTACACTAATAATAAGTTAAATATTTTCAAGTATATTTATTTACTTTATTTGATGAGCACATAATTAAAAGACATGATAAGGTCAGACTTAGTAGTTCGTCATATGTTGTATAGATGGCGTTACTGTGATGATTTAAGTAATCGCTGCTACTTGTGAACTGCATGAACACATTTAATATAAAAAATAAATATAACAGCACTTATTTATTGTTAATATGGTTATATTTATATAAACACGAAACTATTTGAAATTCTTAAATGTAAAACCTAACTATGTTGGCAAAGTAAAATGTCAAAATTGTTGTTTTAATTCAGGATCATACATAATTGTCTCTAAGCAGTTTGTACTATTAATGAAAGTGTTATGTTCTTTCGGCTTGACCTTGGCGAGTGGAGGTGGTGCGACGGTTGGCACCCCACGTCGCCGTTCCGCTCGGTGCGCCCGCGCGTCCGTCGCGCTTCGCCACGCGCTGCGCACCACTGACCCCTGCCTCGTCACAGGGGAGGTGCACCGAGAAAGTGCCCTTACTTTAACTCCAGGATACTAACATCCGGGAGGAAGGATCTCTAGTTCGTTAACTGTCGAAATTAGTCCACAATTTTGTAGGACCCTACATGTTATCAGGGACAGTCAGGGACTAATTGAAATGATTTTAGTTGGGCAACGTAAGTACACACGAATGGTATTAGACGATTTGGTGCCATTTGTTTGTAATTTCACAGGTGGGAGGATTGTTTACACGGTTTGCGGCGTGCGAGCACCTCTCAATGGCTCGGCCTGCAGGGGCAGGGGGAGCGGTGACCTGCTGGCCCTCCTCCCCGCGCCGCGGAGCCGCCGACCGGCGCACGCGCAGAAAGCCGAGCCAGTTGCCCGCCGCGCAGCCTCCAGCTTGTTTACATCGATAATAATGTGACGTTTACCCCTTCGCTAACTCACTAAAACTTCTGAATTCCAAAATATATTGTGGTGCAAGTGAAATTGCTGTGAACATTTATCTGAAAGTGAGACAGATTACAAACGCAAACGTAGCTGTTGTGTGACCAATGTTCCCATTGTAGGTTGCAGGCATTGTGGCACTGTACGCTTTTGCCAGACGGATATTTTGCATTTGCACAAAAGTTGCACAGCTGGTTCCTGTGATAACACTGTGGCAGACAATGAAATGATGAACGGTCCATGTTTTAACTTCCTATTTCCTGAGGCTTTATATGTGTTTGTCCGTGTTCAGAAATTTATTTTTCTAATAGGATTTCAGAAGTCTTAGTTATCTAGCTGTTAGATGAAAACATCTTGTGATGATGTATTTTTTTATTGACTATTTTTCAATAGTATTTGGTCTTGGAACTTCATTAGCAAATTGCGTGATTGCTAGGCTAGATTCATCATTACCTAAAACTGCACTCGAACAATTAAATGTTCAGGTTTCTGATACAAGGATCGTTGCACCTATGTACATGGTCATAATCAAGGCATTGTGATTGGTCGGCAGCACATGAAGCATAGCGTGACCGTTGAACCATGGCCGCGAGTGCTAAGAACCTGACTCAACGTATGAGGTTTTAAATTGAATATTATTAAAAGAAGTACTTGCAATAAAAATCATTCGTAATATTTACTCAAATGTAGACGTCGGCAAAGATTTCGCTGTTGCAAAGATATCAGTGATTATTTATTTGGAATACGTTACCGCAACGGCATTGGTTGACACACTTTACAGACGGTTAGTTCAATAAGCCAAAGAAAATGAGCTGTTATTGTAAATTTCTCATAACCCGACACGACGCGATTACTGTTACTAATCAGTATCATTGCCACGGTATTGAATTGCCATTGTTGTTGAAGAGTGATCGGGTAACATAATAGTTACTCCGGCGCCGATCTAGATACCCAGATGTCGGTAGAAAGCGCCGAGACACTTCGCGACACTCTTACAAACTTGCTTATCAAATAAATGTACATATTTATACATTCATTCTGCCTCCTTCTGTGGCACCATTTTGACAGACTTTTTCTTCATCAAATTTTTTACTTTTTCTTCATCAAATTTTTTAGTACGATTGCATCCATCGCGTGTTGCACAAATAGGTTAAGACCTTTAGGCATCTCATTATCTGCAGACTAATTAAGCGTTACATTATAGTAATTATGCGTTCAGAAATGCTCATCTTATCGTAACTTGAAACAAATGAGGTCCCACGTAATTTCGTTAAGCACTGCGCAAGCGTTGACAATGGGTCGCTCGTTGAATGGTGAAGTCTTGTAGTTAATCGTCAATTGTTCGTCTGATTGTATTCACTCGATCTAATACTATGATAATAAGTTACACCGTGTGCTGTATTCAGGGCTCCGTTGTCAAACGCAAGCATATATATAACATAATAATATGTTCTGGCATTAAGGTTTATGGGGTTTTCTCTTCCTCAGCTCGCTTTAACATGCCTAGAGAGAAAATGTTAGTCCCCTCGTAAAGTTTCAAAACCGCGTGACAAAGGCATGCAAACTGGCGGAGTCAACGATTTGCGAGCTATGCGCTAATGTTCACTATGTGGTAATTATTCCTGCATGTTGCGAGTCTGCAGGCCTTTAGTTAGAACTCTCCTGGAGTTTTTGCGTTATTTCATGAAAATATACGTTTATGCATCATTGCGTTGCTTTGAAATTAAATAATGGGCACGTAGATTGGCGGCATTAGCATTTCTAAAATGTTAAACAGATTATAACGCAATTTAAATACCGAGCTAAGCAGTAACTATTACATTGCAACTTGTTTGAGTTGGATTAGGTTTAACTAACCGAATATTATCGCGGCGACCATTTCGCAACCGGTGACATCAAAAGTAAATTGGAAGAGCAATTCAGTCTCCGTTGTTTGCGGATATTACGGCGAGGCTAATCAAAGCTTCGTTCCAACTTACAAAACCATCATTATATCCAATTTATTGACTCTATTACTTGTAAATGTGAAATACCTAGTCATGTAGCAGTCGTACAACAAGTGCTAGAACATAAACATGATATATCTAATTCATCGATAATGGGAAATGAGATTTCACTTTCCGCTCGTGAGATACATGTTTTAGAAATATTAATGTTCAAACAACTTGACGAATTTGGGCCTATTTAACGTACAAGTTTTGCCTATGTTGTGTAAGTTATCGAAGATGGGCTTATTAGTGGGTAGAAATTGAAAATATAGTCTACCCACTAGAAGCTATGTAAGTATAGTAGGTGGAAGTATAGTATTGCTAGTGGTCGAAGCTGTAACAGAGACATCCGCACTTCAAAAGCCATGCGAAGATTTCCGCGCGTTTGATCTTAGATACAGCAGGCATTGTGTGTCTGGGAGTGAGGTAGTGAAGGTGCAGTAGTTTGGAGGGGCGGTGATAGTCAGATAACGATGGTTGCGATAACGGCCGGAGGCCGAGGAGAGCGCGTCGCAGTGTCGAGCGGTGCCGGCTCAGCGGCTCAGCGGCTCGGTCGCCTCACTACAGAATTTTTTCAACACTTTTTACGCGTCTAGCTACAAGGTTGTCGGTCGTGTTGTTGTGACTTGTGTGCACGTACGTCTGTGGAGGTTTCAAATGAAATTTGTTTATTTTTTCTTCCCAATATCACGAATCAGTTCTCACTATTCAAATCATTGTGTAATTCTTTTGTTGTCGAGTTTTTCTGATTGAGTATTCTGTGTTTTTGTTTTGGTGTACAACAGTTACGATAAAAACAATGATTGTATGAGTTGCAAGTGTTAGTTGAGTAGTGACAATGAAGGAATCGACTCCTCGGTGCGAGGATGTGGCCGACAAACTGGTGCGACTGTTCGGATGGAGACAGACATACCCGGTGCAGAAACTTCAGAGGAGTATACTACCTCAGACTAGTGCTGCGGTAAGAGATTGTTTTATTTTGCACAAAATATAATTATTAATTTTAAACAAATAACCCTGTGGTTATCCAAAAGCTTTTTGTTTGAAAGAAACTTGTTTCAAATCTAGATTAAAGTCTTAATTAACCTACCTGAAAATTAGGCATAGATAGGTTTTCATCGTATTTCGGGCTCAGTCTCAAACAGAATATTTACCTAGAAATCAACCTTAGAATTTTATCTTTCCCTCGTAATTTTGCTATGTTTATTTTTATTTGTTTTCTTAAGATACTCACTTTATTTTAAGCGCCACACAATTAGTCATCATCGAAGATAACTTTATCACTGTAGTTTGTACGTCTTGAGGAAAATAATTAGTAAGCCGTTTTACTTAGGTAATCTATAACAAATAACAATGATTTGATAGAATACAATAAACATTACGATAAAATAACTCGCCCTTGATAATGTAGCAAAATTTACAAATACCTGCCTTGCTCTTATGATACAAAAAACTGTATTTTTTTATTTAAGTAAAAGTGCTATGGTCCTGTTTGTTATGAGACTAATATGATTCAAAGTCAAAGTCAAAATCATTTATTTCAATTAGACCAGGAAGGCACTTTTGAACGTCCTCAAAAAAAAAAAAAGAAAAATGAAGCTATTTGCTTCTTCCATGGTAGATTCCTATGGAGAAGAACGAGCAAGAAACTCCATAGGTTACTTTTTTTCTATCAGATTATTTTGTGTAACTACTAACTAGTGAAATTATCATAATTTTTATAGGTTTCGTACCCAATGTCAAAAACAGGACCTTATTTCTAAGACTCCGCTACCCGTCCCTACTGTCCGTCCCTTTATCAGCAGGTTGTATTTCATCATTGAATGACAGGCATATTTTTTACGTAAGTAGGTACTTGATAAACACACCAAGAAGATCTTTACCGCCCTTGTTTCAAGTTGTTTGAGAATGGTACGGATGCAGTAATGTGTTTCAGTCTTCTCTATCAGTTGGAATTTTATCATGTACTTTTTTTAAGGGTTGAAAATCATTGACTTTATCATGTACTAGTAGTGTCTTTCCAAATCAATTTATAATCGAGATTTATAACCAACCTCATATTTTACTCATCTTTGACTTTTCCGTTCCACAAAATTAAAATTCCTCACTTTCTTCTTTAGATAATTGAGCTTTATCTTATGAAATCTCAACCGTACCAAAACATACGACATACATGCAATATAGCAACGTTAAATTCCACACAAACACTTAAAAATGTGGTAACACACGTAACAGTTAAATGATTAGGCGGGAAAATCCGTGCAATTTTTTTATTATAGCAACACCTAATACTTCCTGCAATGTCGCCTCGTTACGTACGCATGTCAATGTTGCTATTGTTAAAAACTACTTTCACGAAGCTCTTTGTGATCTGAAAGTGGAAAGTAATTCATTAAATCAACTCACTTATAAATAAGTCGCAATTACGTCGCCGATGGTACCTCCCTGTATATTCACGCGATACGGACGTTGAACCCTGCATATGAGTTGCATACGGAGTTAAAATAATAATTATTCAATACGTAGTACCTACTTTCATAGTCAAAGTGGCGGTTTTAGTGAAATCTAATCTAGGTAGTAACTAACAGATGTTAGGTAAGCGATTTTTGTAGAACGTTTTGTTACTTATGAAATGCTGTGATTAACAAATGATTTTAATTGAAACGTAAACAAAATGTAAAACTCTAATGTTACTGGTTCATTGAAATATCAGGCGATTTTCAATACAATTCAGCGAAAAAGAAGCCAAATTGAACTTAGAATTTGTGCTAAGCTTTCACTGGTTTTAAATGTTAGACAGATAGATAGAGGTCAGAATTGTGTAATAGATAGAGGTCCTAAAATAGACGTTATTTACTCGAAGGTACTGAAAACCCTATAAAATATACTTCTAACCACCCCCATAAATAAAAATCTCCTGATCGATTTCGACCATGGTGGCAAGCACAGGTGGCAAGTCTATACAACTAGACTAGCCCACTACGCAAGATATTATAGTGCACAAGTGTGTGCGCAAACACAGGTGCACTCTCTGTTCCCTCACTCTTTGAACCCGATGGGAAGGCAGACCGACACGACCGTAGAGAGGTCAAGCGTAGGACAAAGGCTTTTTTTTTGCGTAGGCAAACCACGTAAGTGGTTTCTGAGGAACAAGGGTGAAACACCGCCGAACTTCCTGACTCCGGGCTAAGGCTATGGTCATTTTACTCAAAAACGCATTATCACTTTTTCCTAACCTAACCTAACCTGGCTAGGTTACTGAACTGCACGGTTGTGCAGTTCAGTTCAGTTCAACCATCCCCACTTCCCTAGCAACACCGAATGTTGCTTACAAAAATGTCCTCTTAAAATCCATCACCCAATTCCATTATCATGTACTTGAGATAAACTCAACGATTTAACTAATTGGACACCATCAATACTGATGAGTAATTACTATCTCGACCTTGATTGTAATCAGTGACATTCCAGGCTGGGTTTAACGATGTATGCTTTGCCGATGTCATCTGATAACGCTGGTCCTGCACGTAGACAATTGTCATGTAGCTAGATACTCGCCATAAATGTGGCGAAATAAATAAAATGTATTACTTACGCAAGTTGTGATTTTTATGTAAACGTTATGTTATGAGTCAAGTGTGGGAGAACCATGCTTCGGAACATATGGATCGGCTCGGCCGGAGCGATACCACGGCCTCACAGAAAACCAACGTGAAACAACGCTTGCGTTGTGTTTCGTTATATGAATGAGGTTACCGGAGGCCCAATTACCTCGCCTCTCTACTGTCGCCAATCTCCGAATCCCCCATAATCCTCAAATTCCCAATTCCTAAAAGGCCGGTAACGCCCCTGGTGTTTCAGGTGTTCATGGGCGGCGCCGATTACTTACCATCAGGTGATCCGTCAACTCGTTTATCGGCCTAACCCATATAAAAAATGAGGACCTTGTAACAGAAAGTGCTTCAGTTTTACCTTTCTGCCGTATTTCGTATTCTTACTGCCCTAATCCCAAATTACCTGGTGACGGCAAAATATGTCTTCTATTTTTATTGACACTATTCAGACGTCCTCTTGTCTGTTAAAAATTGCGGGTATAATGTGTTTTATACCGGGAGCCGGTGTTTCAACAGATAAAAGGATAAGTAAAAAACTATAATTCCGCACACAATCTGTTCGTAATCTTTTCTTTAGTTTTTCTATAGTCTCCATTTCCTCACACAATCTATTCATCTTTCCGCTAGTTCTTCTCTTGCTTCCAATTCGAAACAGCGTGTTTTCACCAGGAAATATTAAACTAGACAATTGAATTTTGATCTTTAATAACAGTTATTGGAAGAAGAAACAATAGGAACTGGAGATTTTGTAAAAAAATATCCCAAAGACAGCGAGAGTCGCTGCCAACTGAATTAATTTGACATTGATTTAGTTTTGAATCATAACTAGCTTCCATTTAGGGGACGACGTTCATAAATATTGGTAGTTAGGTAAATATTAAACAATGAGGCTTGGCTTTTTATATTTACGACGTATTTCTATGATAATTATCTATAAACATTAACTAGCCTTCTAATCCTTGTTTGAACTGATAAAAGATTTATTGGAATTCTTTGTTTGCAAATTGTACCTATCTAATCTGCCATAGGTAGGTACTTATTCTTTTCTATCGCCTATTTTTTTCTATGGAAATCTACTCATTTTTGAAAAAGTTATATCAATGTAGAATAATGACACAACTTACCAAAGGGTTTGCTGTCATCCACAACTACGTGACCATTTCATGAAATATTAATGGCTTTCGAAGACTCAATAATAAAAAAAAACGAGTTCTAGTTCATAAAATGGTAATCGAATATAGATAAAAGTCAATAACTAAACTATTCAAGATTTTAAGCATGCATTTTCCATAACCATAAGATATTCCTAAATTCGATTTGAATCTTATAGTCGATACTGTATGTAAGAATGTCTTAGGTTAAAAGATCAAGTCTCTTGTCCTTATAAGCAGTGATAGATTGATTGGTACATTGGACGGCGGAAGATAAACTGTCTGGTAAACGATTTCCGTCATGACATCCTTAGTAAAACTTGCTTTTTGGTTTTTGGTATCTTCTAGCAGTTATTCTCTTTACTAGATAGTTAACTCTAACTTAACTTAGAAAATCATCAAAATACACTTGCTAGTAGAATACTTAGGACCGATTTTTTCATCATCAGTTAATTCTGAACTGTAGAATAAAGTGTGTAGAAGAAGTAAGTGTGGGAGAGCCATGCTTCGCCACGAATGGGCCGGCTCGACCGGAGTGATAGCACGGCCTCACAGAAAACCGACGTGAAATAACGCTTGAGTTGTGTTTCGTCGTGTGAGTGAGTTACCGGAGGCCCAAATACCCCCCTCCCTAGTCCCCGTTTCTCAAATCCCCGAATCCTCCACAATCCTCAAATTCCCAATTCCCAAAAGGCTGGTAACGCACTTGTAACGCCTTGGTGATTCGAGTGTCATGGGCGGCGCCGATTGCTTACCATCAGGTGATCCGTCTGCTCGTTTACAGGCTTATACCATAAAAAAGACAGTTTGACAGTTGACAGTTTTTAGTATGGAAGAATTGCCAAATATTGAAAGTTGTTCGTCAGTAAAATTTATCTGAGCAATGGAAAATTGGCCCTTAGTGATATTAATTAGGGATTATCTAATGTGATTTGCCTAAGGAAGCTTAAAGTTAATCTAAGATCAGAATTCAGCGAGCAGCCTTATCTTTAATGAGGCTTATCCTTCCTTATTACTTAAAACCGTTAAGTTTAATATGAAAGTGTGTCTGTTTACTTTCACATATAAATCGCGGGACCGATTTTGATGAATTTTTCCAAAAAGGTGGATAAAGCGATTTTTATGAAACATGTCTTCAAGGCATGACTAAAAACTAATATTTATGGTGTATTATTTATGGTGTACTAAGAACGTGC